GTCTCCTTCACAGTGTTGGCCATCACTTAATGACTTTATTAAGATGCCTCTTCCATTAACCTCCCTACTTACCTATAGCACATGGGTGACCGCATAACCGAAGCCCCGCCCCTTGCTTCCCTCTGCCCACTCACCGCACTGATCTTCTTCCACTGCCTGTCCAGCTCAGCTTTCTCATTGGTCTCCTTAAATCGACGGGTCTTTCGTCCCTCTGACATCTTAATTCCGTACTGGAATGCAGCCCTGAATAAAGAAACAGTGAGAATCTATTAATAAACTGAAAGCACAGTCAGAAGCCAAATGACAGAGTTTGGCACGAGTGATGTCGCCATGAGCCAAGCTGGTCGGGAACGTACTTGGGCAGAGCCTCCTTGTTATTCATGTAGTCGCTGTATTCCTCTTGGGTGTCGAAATCCCAGCGACCAAGGGGGCCCTTCTTGTTACCCTGGAGACAGAGCAAGATCAATCAAAAATCGACCAATCACGTCATGCAAAGGCTGTGTCAATCTGACATCGTGCCCCAATCCCCATACGTCTAATCATCCGCTCTTTCAGTGACGAGTAACGACCACAACCGCGGCTCAGCGGTCACGGGCAGCACACCTGGTCCATTTTGCTGTAGTCCACTTCCTCATCACTGTCCACTGCAAGGTCGTCCATCCTGGGGAAGAGGCAAGAGGACAGAGTGAGGCGAGCTGGGCCAATGGGGAAGAGGCAAGAGGACAGNGTGAGGCGAGCTGGGCCAATGGGGAAGAGGCAAGAGGACAGAGTGAGGCGAGTTGGGCCAATGGGGAAGAGGCAGCCATTTCGGAACACTGGCCAAGTGACCGAAACGTGGGATGTGCTGGTGAAACACGGCCCACTTTCAAACGACAACGCTGACTGCTCAAAGGATCACGAACATCGAATCTGGCCCCATATAACAGTGGGGGACTAAGGGCCTTGCTCAAGGGTCCACAGACATGTGACTGTTCTGCTGAGGCTGGGGCTAGAACTGGCGACCTTCTGATTACAGGATGAGAGATTTAGCCCCCCAGGTGCACCTGAAGAGCACCGTCGTCTGGCGTTCCTAGACACGGGCCCGTTGCCGTGGCCACATGAAGCCCCGCCCTATGGTTAGACGGATCACTCACGTGGCAGGGTAACACTCAGCGTAGCTGTTGGACATCCCAAAGAAATCCCCGACGTGCTTCTTCTCCTCGCGGCGGGACGGGGCAGTGTCAGGGGGTCAAGGAACACTACGCCAACACCAGGCGGGCAAACGCATAAATAAAGGGGCGGGCAAACCCCCAACCGCCAACCCGAAATGACGGTCCTGCTCAGGCCACAGTTTGGGCCTTCAAGCTCCCTGCCCAGAAGGTTCTACAGAAAGGATATTTCTCCTGGACCTGCCACTGGCCGGCCGCGGCACCAGCGAACTTCTCGTTGATCAGCTTGATCTGGTCCTTCACCGATCCGGGCCCTGAGAGTACAGAGGAAGAGCAGCGCAATCAGGGCTGCTATAAGTCAGCCACAAACACCAAACACCCCCACGCACAGCACCACCGCGTCGATTTATCATGCATCTACGGGGTAATTACCTTTCTCGATCTCCAGAGCCTGCCATGGGGGGAAGAAAAGGGAAGTGAGTCATCTCCCGTGACTGACAAAACGAGCAATTCAGAAAAGCGACAGAGCAGCTGACGGCGTTGGGTCTATGTCCCGTAAGGAAGGTCACCTCCTCGTCGGCCCTGGGCTTCTCAAAGTAGCTGTGCCTCCTTTTCTCCTCCTCGCGGTCCCTGTCCCGCTCTCGCTCCCTCTCTCTCTCCCTCTCCCTCTCCCTCTCCCTGTCCCGCTCCCTGTCCTTCTCGCGGTACCGCTCCTTCTCCCGGTCACGGTTATTCTTGGACGTAGACGGGATGTAATCGCCGATGTCGTCGAATATGCTGCAGGGCAGAGCAAAGGGTATGTTTCACGCGCAAACCAGCTTTAGAACAGGGGTGGGGACCCTGATCCACGCGGGTTTTTGGGGTGACCTCTCAGTCAGCCAATAACAGTGGGTCCTCAGGACTGGAGCAGAGAAAAACTGCTTTCTTATTGGCTGATTGTGAGGTCATCCCAGAAACCCGAACCCACACCGGCCCTCCATGGATCAGGTTTCCCTCCCCTGCCTTAGACAATTTTTAAAAGAGCTTGAGACAGAACCATCTAGAACTAAAAACTATAGAAATGCAGAAACATACAGCAACTGTGAGAAAGTTTTAGGCAGTCTAAGAAAACGGCGTTCAGATGGTGTTTTTCATGCAGGAAAAACTGTCTGTCAAAGTGTGTCAGCTTAGCCGCTTCAAAACCGCTCCTGACGTCGCCACGGCAACCATCCAATACACCCATGGAGTTTTTAGACTCAACCGATACCGAACCTCGAACAGCTAATCAACACCTCACCCACGTTTTAACTTGATTAACTTTGACTAATTAAGCTGGATGTGAGATGTAACGAATGCAAGGAATGGCTGAGGTGCCCCTGAGGAGAGGTTTGGGAACTGAAGCGGTGTTCATCTAGCCGTCCAGCAAGGCATCTTTTTAGAGAACGGAGGACATTCTTGTAAGCCTTTGTTGTGTTACTCTTAATTTTTACATGTTCTAAACTTAAATTGTGCTCAGAAGACATATACGAATGGGATAAACAGCTTCCTTTGACTGCCTAAGACTTTTGCTCAGCACCGTACCTTCATATAAAGAACAACATGCAGTGATCATCTTTTAAAAGTAGTAAAATAAACGCTTGCATGATTTAAAAGAAAATCAGTATCAGCAGGAATGACGGGAAGCAGTGACTCCACGGGCCGGATCAGCCCGACTGACGGGAAGCAGTGACTCCACGGGCCGGATCAGCCCGACTGACGGGAAGCAGTGACTCCACGGGTCGGATCAGCCCGACTGATGGGAAGCAGTGACTCCACGGGCCGCTTACTTTATATCTGCCTCCGGTGCTTTTTTCTCATCCAGCTTCCCTAAGGAGATAAAATCGCAGCGTCTGTGAATCCGGTAACGCCGCGCCTTTAAGACGCATCGCGCTCACTGTCTCTCGTATGCGGGTGAAGCTAACGGGCTGGCGGTAAGATGGCCCGTGTGCCCGGGTTACGCAGCCCGTCTACCTTTCTCCTTCTTCTTCATCTTCTTGTTGCGCGTCCCTTGGCGCAGGTAGGACAGGATCTGGGTCAGCTTGCTGATTACGATGTCGTTGGTGGTGAGAGTGGTTTGGGCCTGGGGAGAGGGGACATTGGCGTGAGACGGACGGTGGGGCGGGCGAGCGAGCCGGGCAGGGGGGGGCCGGTCACGCACCTCCATGGTGGGGCAGTCGGCCTTGCTGCGGATGAGCGTGGTGGGGATGTCCGTGTCCGCGTACTCGTCCTCCAGGTCGACCACGTAGGCCATGCGGCCCGGCAGGAAGAGCTCGTTACGCTCCATCTGACGGCCCTTAAACAGGATGCGGTAGATGTTCCTCCCTGGGGGGGGGGCAGTAAGGACACCTTCGTATGTCCACACAGCAGGTGGGACGGCACAATGGCCGCCAACCCTCTCCCTATGTTACGGGCTTGTGTACTTTATCCCTTTTAGGAAGGGATTTGATTAATTAAAATTAGGTTCCCCCCCCAAAAAAAAGAGAGAGAGCTCACCCAGACGGGTCTTAAACTCAATTTTCTGTTCTGGATCTTCATCTTTCCTGGGGGAGATCAGAAAATATTTTTAAATCTGGGGTAGGGACACAGACCTTTGCAAAATTAGGTTTCTTCTAAAGTTAGGAAATGGAGTGCAAGTGTGCCGTATCACACATCAAACCAGGACGGGCACAGCGTGGTTGGGGGGGGGGGGGGGTACATACTTCACTTCCTTCTGCGCCTTCTCCATCATGTCCTCCTCCTCCTTCTCTTTGCTGGTGATTTCTGCTCTCACCTGACGACACACCAAGGACACCAGTAAGACCCTTGGCTGATCTGTGCAGTGCGGTATTCCCAGCTCCCTGGTTCCTCTCCCGGAGGAGCTTCGGGAACAGGGCGCCCTACTATCCTGCCATCTTTAGACACCGGCGCCTCACGGTGGGCATGAAGCACGCGACGGAAAGGCAGAGGCTGACCTTCTGCAGCAGGGCGAAATCCAACCCTTTCACCAAGTGAGTGTGCTCCATGTCACCACCCAAGAACTTGGACTCCTGGATCAACTGGCGCCTCTTCTCCGCCGCCGACTTATCCCTGGGGACGTAGAATATGAGCAGTGAACGGAACGTCGAGGCCTCGACAGCCACAAGGGGGCGACTGCGACGCAAGGGCACTCACGCCTCGGCCGTCGGCCCCACCGCCCTGTAGTTGGCCGTGGTGCTGATGAGCTCCGTCTCCTCGTAGTCCTTGTTGACGCCATCGCGACGCTCACGGGCACGGTCACGGTACTTCTCAGCCAGCTCCCGCTCGCGTTCCAGCTCTTGCTGCCTCAGCTTGGCATAGTAACTGAGGCGGGAGGGGGTCAAAGGTCACAAGGGATGGACGTGCAGCTAAGATATGATTGGTTGATCCCACCTCCTCTACAACCTGATTGGTTATCTCTCTGAAACAATCATTTTTTGTTTTGCCGTCAGAACATTTTTGCGTAAGATCAAACAAAGGAGACAGCGGGATGCCAGATTGTGACATTTTTAGTGTTGATACGGTCACTGAAAGGTGATTTAAGCAGATTACATGTTTATAAACATTAAATATGGACTTGCACTTCAGTCTGCTGTGCTTAACACTACAGAAAACGACCAAATGTGAGTATCGTGTTTCTACTGCGTCACATCAGAAGCACACGGCAGCCGACTTATTTGCAGTTAGAGTTCAGCAGAGAGGCCCAACCGCATCAAGGCACCTTTTCTTTTTCCGTCTGCGAGCTGCTGGGTCTTCGTCCTCGTTATACTCCCTCGGCATCCTGGGGAAATTGGGACACGAAGCATGAGGGGACGGTCGGGCTCATTGCGCAGACCTGCACCTGGGCTTACGCACTGTTCACTCTACCGTATGACATTTTTAGGACGTCAGTATATGTTTGCAGGATGCAGAAAAAGAAGCGTCACTCACTCATGGTGCCTGGATTTCGATGGGGGAGCGGATGAAGGCGCAGCCCGAGGGGTCATTAAAAGCTTCCTGAAGTCCTCATTGGTCAGCTTAGATCTGAGGAGAGATAAAGCAAACTCATTCTAGGGATACCAAGACAAATGATTAAACTGCATGGCACACAACCCTTGTTAAATGCATGACCAGAATGCGGAGCTCAATTTATTCTGCATTTTTCACAGTTTACTGCTTTTATTAATCCCACTGAAGAAGGCTGCTCATTATACCAGAAAACCAGGACACTGAATCTGGTCCGGACCGTTACTGGCAACTTCTCATATTACCATAAATTATCTTAACACTAGTTCAACTAAACTTGGCATGAATTTAGAGAGAAATAGCCAGAATCCTGTTAATAAGCCCAATAAACAGCGGGCATCAATAGTAATCAATATTTTGTTATCCCTGTTTAACTTTTAAATACAGCACACATTCCACCTTAAAGCTCTGAGGATTTACGAGTTAGTCACAACCAACTTTCACTGTACAGATGCAAACAGACTAGTCTGACAACATCAAAAATCGCATTAAATATTACTAATTGTCAACGATATTTGAAACAGCAATTGGAACTCACTGTAGCGCTGACCGGTGATCTTCCACCTCATGGTTATCCGGGGCGAGGGGGTTGGAGTAGAGCTCAGCTGAGGAGAGCAATCGGACAGAGTGACCGTCCATCCCGGCTGCCATGATCACAATCGGTGCCCGACGTGCGCCGACACTCCGATCGCTAGCGGACGCCCCACCCACTCCCACAGCATCCCCGTTTACTTCTATTCATATATTACTGAAATATTAAATATTAAGTATCTGACGCAGTTTTGAAAATGCGGACCTATTCCTTTTAAAGGTTCAGCCTATATTCCGGTTGTTAAAGACACCCAACGAATTACACATTTTCCTTGCAGATAATCTCCTATCGCAAACAAAGACGGGATTCTCCACCAAACGCAAAGTTGTAGTTCACTGCGAAGATAATGTAAAAGATACAGTACAGCTCATGTAGTTTAACAAAACAACATATAAAATAAAACGAATGGAGTCAGTGCACAGAGGCAGCATGCCTCGTATGCTTAATAATAGTGCACTAAAAAAATAAACTGCTAACAAATTTAGGTATCAGCAAACTGAATAGCATTAAAAGCTTAACAAATAAAGATTATAGGGCTGTCAGGTCAGCTAACTGCATACGTAGTTCACACTACCAGAGGCTGGGCAACAAAACAACTCAACTTACTTTCTCGTTCCGGCATGTTGAGAAAAGGAGTTTGCCCGTTGGTTAGCTACTCGATATGGTCCGTTTTAATTATTCGCTAAAGAGAAGCCGATTCCCCAACGATTAAAGTAAAATTCTTAATGATTTTGGACGTGGTTTACATACTAGGCCTCGTCAACACCAAACCATCACTAACCTACATTCCTCAAACGGAAATGACAGACAGTGTAGTTGCGCAGGATTTTTTTTCCGAGCAATGAAATTGATTACTTTAGCCTTAAAAGCCTACCTAACGTCGATTGGTCAATAGACAAAACAAAAGCTCTGTCGATTGGGTAATTTTATCGTCACTCTGAATCTCTGACTATAATTGGTTTATAACGGAGAAGCAACTCGAACTTTTATTGGTTTATAATAGAAAGGGGCGTTGCTCACAACATCTTCTGCAGTCTGCACTAAAGGTGAAAATCATGGCTGCCGCAGTTGTCAGAGCTATCGGATCTAACCTTGGCAGAAATCTTCGGGAGGTTCGCTTACATTTTTGTCAGACGTCGCCAGCGAGTCAAGGGGCAAGGTAGCATATCCTTGAGTAATGGATTTTATGTATGCTGAAGCGCGATGAATTAACTGAATTACATCTCTCTGTGTGGCTAGGCTTATCCGTTTGGATGCAATGTTACAATAACAATGGCTTTAATGTTTTCCAGTACCCATAACAACTATTTAAACATAGTTAAACGCACATTTAAAATGGATATTGTTTTACTTAATATAGTTTAAGAGCTATATAAATAATTAGTGTAAGGTCATAAATTATGATTTAGTGAAATTTACTTAATGATTTCCTTTAACAGGGACTTCGTGGAACAGCATTACGTGACTTTAAAGAAAGCAAATCCCGAGTTTCCCGTTTTGATCAGGGAATGTTCAGGAGTCAAGCCTAAACTCTGGGCTCGGTTTGGTAAGAGTAACTATGACAGTATCTAATGTAACGCATTGTTCAGAATCGTAACATGATTTCAGTTTGGACTTATATAAGTGTATGTTAATGCTTAAATTGCTTGTATATTTTCAGAGTTTGGTAAAGAAAGCAGTGTGGCACTGGACAATATGAACATGGACCAGGTGGCAAAGGCATTAGAGGGGCTTGTTAAGGTCAAAGCATGACAGGTCATACTGCATAAGATGATCTCGACCACGTGACATTGTATGTCAAAGATTAAAGATATTTGTATCACAATGTGAAATTTCTTAATCTCCTCTCCTGTGTAATAAATCTGCTGGTATATCACATCGTTTCTTGATAGTCCATTCTTTGCATTATAATTCACTGATGTAACCTCAAAATTTCATGAGTTACACAAGCAGCCAGAAAAAGTGTGGCACTGTTCTTTGCAAGAGATGTGCAAGTGACCTGGAAACAGGAGTGAATTAGCAGCATGGTGACTATTGATTCATATCTGTACAGTTGGTGACATGTTGTGCTCTTAGGTCAGCATTTTTGTCACACAGCTGAAGCTTTTTATTTGTGTAACTGCATTTTGCAGCTTCCTGGCCGAATGTATTTGGGGCAGCGTGTGGCTCAATGGGCAAAGCTTCCGTGCCTGTGGCTGGAATGTCGCTGGCTTGAGCCTGGCCTCGGCAGAATAGTGATGTTTGTGGGCCCTTGAGCAAGGCCCTTAACACCCAGCTCCATGGGCGCCGCTTTGGGTGGCTGCCCTTCACTACCAAGCTCGCTCTCACCTACATGTGTGTCACGGAGAGCAAGATGGGGCAGGCAAAAAGAAAAACTGCCCGAAAGGATCAATAAAGTGTCTTGTTTGAAATCATGTCCAGCCAGGGATTAGCCCCCATTCTGGGCAGCCCCAGTCCCCATGTGCTCCCCGGTATCGATTCCAGGCTCAGAGTGACCTGTGCTGGCTAAGCAGTTATGAGGGATGGGTAGATTATCACTAAACGTGGCAGAGAATCAAGAAATCTAAGTCTTTAAAGTGTTACCTTCGGGATCCCCCCCATATTTAGGGCTCTACAAGTAAGATTAGGGGTTTGTATAAACTTTATTTCTTTTACATAGCAACTAAATCTAGTAACATTAGAAAATGTAACAAGAATAACAGAACTTCTGCAGATATTAAACTACACAGTGCTGCTTGTAGATTTTCTTATTGAGAACGTTTTATAACAACCTGTATGTTAAACATGAACATAGGTGATCTGTTGTCTGCCATTTTAAGGATCACCAATCAAGGGCTGGTTTTCCCCATTTCACTCCTTTCACTCAGTGGCCTAATCTGGCTCTGGACTGGTCCTCATGGGTGAAAGTGTGTCCAGCAGAAACCTGTAAGGAGTTGCCTTCATCTTCTTCCGTTTTCTGTTCTTCTGTTTGATTTGATCTATGAAAGACGTCAACAGCTTCATGAGCACTGGGACCGAATGAGCTAGCTAATAGTTAATATACTACACAAGCGTAACACTGTGCAGTAACAAAATTAGATGGAACACCCCCCGCCCCTTCATAAAGTCTTTATTAAAAGCCCAGCTTTGTGTGACTTATCTCATTGTAACCAGGTTCACCAGATTGGCATCTGAGGCTGTCCTTTGTGCTACCACTACGTGGCGCTGCTTCAGTTTTGGTGCAACTTGTCTTAAAATTTAATCAGCTCTAAACTTCATGCATATAATATGTCACCAAAGTTGAAAAAAGATCCAAAAAATACTTTTTGAGTTATCATGCTAGTGAGAAAAATGTCGGCAGTGGCCGACCGGTCCTAAAACCATAGGTTTCCCTCTCTGGGGAATCTAATACTCACTCTTTTCCCTCCTCTTCACTCCGAGGAGTGCACTCAGGCTCCCAGCTGGAGTGACCGGCTCACAACTTCCTGCAGTCTTCGCCCCCTTTCTTCCAGCTTCAGCTTGCTTATCCTTCTTGACTTTCTTTTTAAGCACCTTGGTTTTGTTTCCTGGCCCCGGTTTTGAGGCGACGCCTTCATCGGACTTCTTCCTTTTCTTGGAGCTCTGGCTGGTTGTGTCGAGAGTGAAGAGCGCCCTCTTGAGGGATGAGGACTTCCTCACGATCTTCCTGGAGACGGTGACTAGCTCCTGGCTAGCCTCAGAGGGGTAGTCTCTCTTTGCCTTACCAGGTGTAACCTTCTCCATCTTCCAAGTGCTCTCGCTCATTCCATTCTCCGCATCCTCCACTTTTACCTTCTTTTTCTTTTTGTTCATCCTCCTCCACTTCTTTTCTCCGGATAGGGTGATGATGGTGGGAGCGGTATTCACAGAAGCCATCGGATGTTCCTTTGAGGTGTCACTATCTGATCATACAGAATGAATTATTAGTTTAACGCAGAATGAAAACCAATGGTTTCGATGGGATCATGACTCAGTTGCTTGTCTTGTTTACCCATGTCTCAGGTCATCAGTCCATATGCAAGCTCACCCATGTGTATCAGAGACTCTGCGCAGCATTATCAGTCTGTGGTTGTACAGCTTGTAGACACCTTACCTGAAAGAATCAATGCCCATGTCTCCTTCTGTTTCTCTACATCCCGGGAGCGATCAGATTTAGCACCTCCGCCTCGCCCCTCTGGCGCGACCTCTGAGCATCTTGCTCTCTTCTTCTTTTTCTTCTTTGCCGGCGGGTCCATTTTATCTGCCCGTCTCTTCCTCTTGGTCTCCCCTGTTGAGGTTTTCAGAGTGCAAATGGCCTCCCGCTCAGTAGGTGGCGCCACTTCAGAGGCCTGCAGGTCAGAGGAGCAAGGGAGACGCCCAGCATCAAGGCACCCAGTTCCAGAGAGAAGCTAGAAACATTAACAAAATATATACCTACATTGTGCTTTAATATCGGAGGCATTGGATGCCATTTTTTTTACACATATATTGCAGTTCAGAATTGTACTTTGTGCATTTTTTTCCACCCCTGTAAAAACCAGAACAAGAGCAAGTCACAACCTGCAAGCGTTTTGAGTCCTCAAGGCTGATGTCCTTGCCGATTGTTGTGGTCTTAGCTGCTGAACAAGAGATGCAGATTCACAGAGAACAGAGGACGCATTCAGCATGTCAGGAATGAGCACACAGAAATGTGAGTGGCTGAACATGCCCATATAACAAATCCCCATATCTAATCATATCTCTCCCAGGGCTCATGGGGGCACCTTCGCATGCCGCTGCATTTGGGGGGCTGGGGAGGGACATACCCCCGCTCTTCTGCTTCTCAGCCGGGAAGGTGGTCTGTTTCCTTCCTTTTCTTTTCCTTTTCTCTCCACTTTTCACAGGAGCTTCCTTGGAGTCCAACAGAGACTGAACACAGAGTGTAACGTCTGTTCTTGAGTTTACAAAACAAAATCAGCTGCACTTTACCAAAATACCTGCATGAGAGGTATGATGTTAGTATGGTTATGGCAGATGCTGCAGTCGCTCCCTGACCTGAGAGGGCTCCTCTTCAGCAGTCCCACTGTCCTCCAGGTTTGTGGCCACGGCGCAAGTCAGGTCTGAAACAGCAGGAGACAGAGACGTCACAGTAAGATTCTCACCTAGCAACACTGTGTAGTCATGTGCCCTGCAGGTCAGATCAGGTAATGTACCTGAAACTAAGCAGGTTTGGGCCTGACCAGTACTTGAATGAGAGACCATTGAGGAAAGTGGGCTGCTGCTGGAAGTGGCTTGTGGTGTGACCAGTAGGTTAGCCCATCATGTGGTCTGTGTGCATCCCAGTGCAGTGATGGGGACACTGGGCTGTAAAAATGGTGCTGTCCTCTGGATAAGAAGTAAAACTGAGGTCCTGACTCTCTGAGGTCATAAAAGATGTTCTGGCTATAATTGCCCCCTGTGGGGCGATCTGGCCTTGTAATAATCCCCAGTATCTAACTGGTGAATTCTCTCCTGCCCCTTAGCCACTGTGTGGTGAGAGTTCTGGTGCAGAAAGGCTACTGTTGTATCATCCAGGTGGGGGTTGAAGCAGCTCCCTGTGACTTTTGCAAAAGTGCTTTGAGTGTGTTGAAAAATATCAAAACCATTCAGTGTTTCTCCAACCACTATATTAGGGGGGTGCCCCGCCCACCCTCCCTTGAAGGTCAAGTTAATTTTATTTAGTATTATTTTCTATATAGCGCCAGATCAAAAAGTAATTTAAGTTAACCTTTCCTATAGAACGGGTCTGTATATTGTCCTTTTATTAAACAAACCAAATAGCCGTATGTTATTTATCTTATTTACACAACAGCTTGTCATTTTTGTCTCTACACGGTCACGCGTTTACAATTCTCCTCTGCTCTCTGTGTTGCGCGTGGCGGAGTTCCGCCTGATGCGCGCTAGGCTGGGTCATTATAGTGCACTATAATTTGCTAATATTATTCATGTTAATCACCGATATTTATCAAATTACTAAACAGAACACAAATATTGGCAAAGATAATCAAAGTTTTCACAATTACACCAGAGAAATAAATGTTTACAGTCTTAAACGCATGTCTAACATCTATTATCTAACCACAAATGTCATCAAAACTTTCAGCATAAGACCCCTTCGAAGCAAATGCGGGTCTCATCTGACGGCTTCCAACCTTTGCAAGAATGTGTCTATGTCTTGATTCCAGAAGCTTCAGATGTCAGCTTTACTGCCCTCTCAACACTCTGAGAATGTGAGGGTAGATCTGGTAGCTTCAGCTGTGTGCCGTTCTCCAGCGCATCGTGACGATCGCTGTCGGTGAAGTGTTCAGTCAGATTCACAGATGCCAGGATGTGACAGACTGATCAGGTCAGACCAGTGGGTTGCGTTCATGTTGATGGCTGTGATCGTCTTCAGTCTCTTCTTTGGAGGGATATCAGCTCTGATTGAGAGGATTTTCTGCAGACCAGCCTGTCTCACTGCCAGGTCGATGGACTTCAGCATGGAGTAGAGCATCTTCTACGGTAGCAAAGGCCTTGTGCTCCAGGTTCTTGAGAGCCACACCTTTAACGTCTTCTGATTGGTTCTTGATCCTTTGGATCATGTTGTAGATGTATTGCTGCTGGTTGCTGAACTTGTTATCCCTCTTGACCTCAAACCAGCTGACTGCATACACCTCAACTATGAACTTGACCGCGTGGTACAACTTGTCTTGCAGTTCTGGTGGACAAACAAGTCTCGTCCAAACACACATCAACCTGATTGCTAGAGTCAGCCATCTGGCATGATTGAGGGGTCCAATTTTCCATGCAGCAAATCTGAGGTCAACTCTGCCAATGGAAATTCCTCGAATATACTCCAACTCTGGTCGGTGCTAAGATCAGTCAGTTTCATCTGGAAACTGGATATCATCAAGTGGACCATTAAGGGTTCTGAACTTGATCTGTGGCAGATCCTGGTGATCAATCACACATAATTTACCCAATGGGCCGCTGAAGGTTGTGGGACTCTTACTGCTGCCATCAAGGTACTTAAAAACTGCTCGAAAAGGTAATTCGTTTTGATGAAGAGAACAACCAATAGTGTGCAGTCCCTGCTTGAGATTAGTTTCCAGCACTGTATATATGCGAGAAATTAGACGGAATTCTGACTCGTTATCCTGAAAAAGTTTTTCCTGTTTCTCGATAAATGGGCCAGACGTTTCTGACTTCCCATACCAAGAGGTTCTAGAAATGTTCTTCCAGAAGCCCAGAAAGATTCACTGCAGTGACAACAGCTGCAGACTTTGTGGATAAAAGCAAGAGAATGCCCCAGAAAATAAAAGAAAGAAAGAAAGAAATTCTGGGTGAAGATGTTTTCCTTTGCCAAAAAAAAGAAAGGAATAAAACAAGAAAAATCAAAGGCTGATGTCAAGGAGCGAGACGAAAACCACGCTGAGGTGGAGGGAGAGATAGATGGAGAAATGACAGCAGTAGAGGAGATCAAAGTGAGCGAGCCACTGGTGGAAGATAATAAGGCAAGGGTGGAGGAATTAGAAGCTGAGATCTTGGCGGTCTCGGAGGACACAGACGAGATGCAAGCAGGAATTGAGAAGACAGAAGCTGAGATCGAGGCAATCTTGGTGGACCTTTTGGGTGGAACAGACAGTGGAGGAGACATATGAGTGGTGCTGCAGGAAGAAGTGGCGGAAAAAGCAGTGGAGGACCAGATTAAGGCAAAGGCAGAGATGATGCAGGAGGACATGAAGGAAGTGGAGATGGAAGCTGAATATATTAACCATGAGTAATATTTATAATTTATCAATTAAGTGTTAAAAGATGGAGAGAATGGTCTTTTTATTTGGATGAGAGGGGGCTGTATTCACAACATAATGCCAGTAATGTTTGAAAGGTGTAACAAACTAGCTTCCATGCGCATTGTATCTCAGTAAGACACCGCAAATCAAAAACCTGAATTCACTGAAATCATGAGGATTTTACAGCTATGGAGCTGATAGGCTTCAATCACCAAAGCAACTGAAATGTTCTGCACCTGCTTCTGCTTGCTATGCATTATTATGCGGAGGTGGGTAAAGGATAGAACTCGAGTCAAAGATAAAGTTGCTCCTGGTTAAATATGACTCCAATATAAGAGCTGTTCAATTCAGTCAAACTTTTACTTTAAGTTAAAGTACTGGAGTACTTGGTATTAAAAATACTTTATTATTCAGAAGTATATTGTATTGTATTGCGTCTGCCCCCCCCCCCCAAAGCTGTAAACCTAGGGGAAATACTGCATTCATTCTTTCATATTGCTTTGTCTGTATGAAGTCCATGTAGTGTTCATGCATATGGGCCGTCTACAGACAAGTTAACATGATCACACTGTATATAGAGGAAGCACAGACCAACATTATAAGGAGCCTTTATGGTTGTCATCAAACAAGCCTATATATACAGTATGTCCCATCTTAAATGTATAATTTAATCTGTGATCGATTAGTTGGATAATTACAAGCAGCTATATAATATGACCTCAGTATAAAACCCTTATGGTCATTGCACTTTTTTAACTGCTGAAAATAAAGGTACCTTTTGACGTTCTAAACATCGGTGGCTCACCAGAAGTAGGACTGCACCCAGCTGAAAGGCCCTGTTAAGGGAAATATACAGCAGTTACCTTTATTTTGAATTAAAAAAAAAGCAGCAGATGTTATCATCAGAAAAAGCATCAGACGTTACACTCGCAGTCGTCACACAAAGCAGTGTTTAAACTGCACTGGGACACACGTATATCCAGTCAGACATGCACAGGCCTGATACAAAATGCAAGTTGCATCAGACACGTCAGAATTTAGGTAATTTTATGACCAGTTCAGGAGGAACACAAAAGAGGATGATGTTTACAAAGTACAAAGCAGTACTGCAGGGATTAAGCAAAGAGATGTTAAGTAATTATTAGGGATGAGTCCGCATTAACTGTGATTTTTTTCATTCTTTTCGTTCTTCTGTTTTAGTGTTAGTTCTGCACGTGCTGTTTTAGTGTTAGTTCTGCACGTGCTGTTTTAGTGTTAGTTCTGCACGTGCTGTTTTAGTGTTAGTTCTGCATGTGCTGTTTTAGTGTTGGTTCTGCACGTGCTGTTTTAGTGCGGCGCGTTTGGGACAATTGTGAGCCAGACGAACACGACCTGATTGTCATTCATTGACTGGAAATATGCAATTTGTTGGCTCTGCTTTGTGTCTATTGGCACAACTTGCTGCAATGAGTGTGAGAGAATGTGAGTCGGCTGCTGCTGTTCATTTTCATCTACATTTAGATTGTCATGGTTGTTATCAAGGTTCTTCAAATTCATGTTTGTGAAATTCGTTCTCAATGAAATCTTAAATAAGAGTAAACTGTCAGTGTACCAGTTTGGCCAGTTAACCAAAATGTGAATTACTGACTCGTCTTTCCCAGTAAATACAGACTATTGGTAGATAAGTTCTGTTTGGCTATAGTGCTTGTGTAAATTTTCAACTCAGTTTCTATTTTATAAATCTTGTGATTTTTATTGCGATGATTTCAAACATTGAAATGCAAATTCCCTGACATTGTTCAGGCTTAGCTGCAAGACTACTTTTAATGTTTTAAGTTTACCTTTTGCAGCAACGAGTGTCTCATTTTGAGAAGCACTGTTAGGATTGTGTTGTTTAAAATAAAGAAATCACCACTCGTCATAACTGCCCATTATTAAACATTATTGCATGCTATTTTACTGTAAATCTATCTGACACCTAAAAATTATCAAGGAAATAAAAGTCTTGTAAACCAGAGTAACTTGTTAACTCTGCACTGACGCCCCAAACCCCAAACTCCACTCTCACCTGTATGAGTGTGTGTGTGTCCCAAAGCAGTGCATGATGGGATATCATGCACAAATCAGTGCTCAAAGTATACCTGCACTTATACAAATGGCAAATAAAAATGCAGCATTCATCATACAGACTAACACCCCATGCTGGGTCCTGGACAGGCTCCAGATCCACAATGACTCTGACCAGGACAAGCCGGTAGAACAGTGTTTCTCAACCCAGTCCTCAGCGAACCCCAGCCAGTCCACGTTTTTGCTTCCTCTCAGCTCCCAGCGCACCTGTACCAGCTATTCGGTGTTCCTGATTGGCTGGGAGCTGGGAGGGAGCAAAAACTTGGACTGGCTGGGGTTCGCTGAGGACTGGGTTGAGAAACACTGCGGTAGAAGATGGGTAGGCAACATAATTATGGAGAAAACGTCGATCACAGTCAAAGCAATCACCATGATTTTTCAGAAGACAAACATACATGTAGCATAATTCGCCTTAACCTGCTTAGCGTTTTACCTTAACGGTAACGCATGCGGTTCCCTCTTCATCCTTGGTGAGTCTGCTCTTGCTCTTAGATGATGAAACTTTTGGAGAAACTGCAGGGAGGTTAGACTAAGCCTTCACAATAGTGTCAGGTATGTCAGCATCAATGTCTGGCCTTCCCGTAAAGATCAATGTGGTTACATAACTATCAATGTCACTGTCACTGTGTCACGACATCGTTATGCTCACACATTAATATGACAAATAAAACTGTGAAGAACAGTTACCTGCAAGAAGTGTCTCATTTCTCCCCGAGGACACTGGACCACCACAGATCCTATCAATAATCTGCAGTAGGTTCCTGGTTCTAGTTGTCAAAGTCCTCTTGGAACGGACTTTTGAGGCAGCTGTGACTGTCTGAATGAAGATTTGGTTATGAGGGTAAAAGAGACTGAAACGGCCATGGATTAAAGCACAGACCTCATTTCCTCTAACATGCTTTCTGGAACGACTGCAAAGTAAAACACAGCGCACACGTGTAAATCAAACACGACCCGGAGAAAAGACTAACCTGAGAGCAAACGAAGTAAAGGATCC